TTGTCATTATTGAATTATCTCAAGTTATTTGTGTACAGAGTGATTTCCTTGTAAACTGGACAGTAAGCTTCATGAGGGCAGGGACTGTGCCTTGCTCACCATTATCTCCATAGCTGATGGAGGAGAGGAAAAACTTCCCTCTACCCTTTTAGGTTCTGTGACTAGACCTAAGAATTAAACTGACATAAGACAGATTAACAAAAGAAGAGCATACAAATTTCATTTCATATTTTTACATGTACACAGCAGTTTTCAAAAGGAAAGTGAGGACCTGAAAAAGCTGTTAGGCCCCAGTACACTGTGAGTATGTGATAACATAAAGGGGCTTGGGCCAGGGGCAGTATTTTGTGGGCTGGTGACTAGGAAATGCATGGGGGAAACCAATAAAAGATAAGTGTTATCTTAGTAAGTTTGTTTGCATAGGTCTTTTAGTCATCTTCTTCCAGTCTCTGGTGAGAGAGGGGTGAAGGGCACCTTTCTCAGGGAAATTTTATGACCTGCTTTTAGGTTTAAAAAAAAAAAGGGGGGGGGGGGAGGCGGGGAGTCAGAGAGCCCTTCCTGCATCTGCTATTTCTCAAGTGACTTCACTCAAAATAATCACTAAAAGCGGCATATTTTGGCAGTGGCACCTTCTGAACTCCTTCAGAGACTTTCGATAAATATTCATTAGCTGACTAACTATGAGTGATTAGAATACTAGAGAGGCTCCAGATTCGAGGCCATTTCCAATGAGCCTTTTCTGTAATGGGCTTCCCTGGCTGAGACAGGGCAAACCTGCGTTCTCCTGTGCTGTACACCTGCCAAGATTTGCGTGGCCTGAGCGCCCATGCTGACGTCTGGGAGGGATGTGGGTTGGGGCTGTCAGACCAGCCTCTTGGAGGAGGGCTTCCATGATAAGCTCCACTTTACAAAACCAGCTCCAGCCAGAAGCACACCCAGGAGCACAGGGGAGGAGAAACTATAGCAGTGTGGGTGAGTTTTAGATCGGAAAATGTAACTGGCTGCCCAACGTTTTGGGAAGAAAAGTAGGTCACCATCCTGTGCTCAGTCCAATGGCATCCCCAGGGCCTCAAGGGGAAGAGTTGTGTGATCATAGATTGTGGGCAAATTTGGTCATGCTCAGTTTATGAAAACTACCTGCCCCCACACCCTGTCATTTTCAAGGCTCCTTAAAAATCAAGAAAAGATCAGTCCAGGCTGTTCAGCTTTTAGGACTTGGTTACAGAATCTTCCTGAGTCCAGCTTATTTTAGTGTTTTTATTAATTTTTGAGAGAGACAGACAGACAGAGCACCAGTAGGGGAGGGGCAGAGAGAGAGGGAGATACAGAATCTGAAGTAGGCCATCTGTTCTCTGGCATAGGATCGTGGGGTTTTAAAGGAGAGAGCAAGTTTGGGGGAGCCCCGAGAGGTCTCAGATGAGTCTCTGTTATGAGGCCAATGAGAAGCTCTGTGGACAGGGCTTTCTGTGACTCCCCAGCCCAGGAAGAGAGATGAGACCAAGATTTGAGAAATGAAGACTCTTCTCCAGTTTGGCAAACAAAATCTCACCCCCTGCATCGTGCCCTTCCACGTTTGGCACCATGATATTAGTCATAACAATCCGGTCATACATTAACCACTTCTCCTTCTGACGGAGAAGCTGAAAGTGACATTCACCCTGGGTGTGACTTGGGGATTTTCTGGGGCAGGACTGATGATGAGGTGCTGGAGCTGTCCCCTCCTGGTTTGCAAAAGCCAATTATTAAATATTCAAAAATGTTGTGAGCCTGCTGTTAAACCACTGGTAACTTGACATCTGCCGTGGTGGGAGTGTTTACACCATGGAAATTGGCAAATAGTACAAATTAGGATTTTTGTGTTTCATTTTTTTTTCCCCCAGGGAGCGAGCTGCTTTACCAGCATGCACTCAGGAGACAGAAGGAACTCCCAGAGGGCTGGAGGAGGTGGCGGGAGGGGACCAAGGAAAGAGCAGCCGCTGAAGGTGTTTGGTGTTTCCCTGACAGCTTTGTGACGTCATCCTCCATTCATCCTGCATTTCCTTGGGGTCGGTGTGTTCTCCATGGGAAACCGATGGATTCCACTCCCACTCCCACTCCCGCTACTTCAGGGAATGTGAGGTTTACTTTCACTAGCCCCTGGGCTAAAGGGCTCCAAGAGCAGCTTCCGAGAGCACCAGGCCCATTTTCTTGCACAAAGAGGAGAGAACGAAAAGCTGGAGAGGCGCCTTCAATGGTGACAAGTCAACGGAAAAGTAGATACGGGCATCCCGATAATCAAAGGTTGGCTTCCTCTGATAAAATCTGCAAGCCATGTATGCCAATGATGGCCACAGGCAGTCTCATGGAAGTGGATCCCTCTGCTTCAGATTCCATTTTCAGAAATCACAAAAGGTTGAAAAAGAAACAAATTATTTTCATGAAAAGGATAATAAATGAGACCAGGATTGGTATAGAGAACAATTCTTACATTTACTGCACTGGCTAGCCCGGGGAAGAGAGTGCTTGCAAAGACACAGATTTCCAGGACTTTCTCGGAAAAATTTAGATTCTGGAGGCCTCAATGGGAGACCAAAAATCAGCCTTTTAATTAATTAATCTATTTATTTATAATGTTTATTTATTTTTGAGAGAGAGAGAGACAAAGCGTGAGCAGGGGAAAGGCGGAGAGAGGGAGACACAGAATCTGAAGCAGGCTCAAGGCTCTGAGCTGCCAGCACAGAGCCCCATACAGGACTCGAACCCACGAACAATGAGATCATGACCTGAGCTGAAGTTGGACACTTAACTGACAGAGCCACCCAGGTGCCCCCAAAATTAGTCTCTTAAAAGCTCCACTCCCACCAATCTTTCTGCCGCTGCCTTGGGACTGCAGTCTGAGAAACTGGTCTAGAGACGGTCCTCAGGAGGCATTTGTTGATGGTGGACTGATCCCTGGGTGGACCCTCCTCAGGGCCCAGGCTCTGCTCTGCCTCAGGTCTTCAAGATTCATCCACTGGTATAGGTGGGCCCAATACTGTGCTAGGAACTATGCGAATAGCATAAAAACACAAAAGGGCATTCAGTTCTTACCACTGTGAGTGGGGGAATGAGGTGAGCCCGGGAAAAGTAGTCCTGAGGCTCTGAGAGGAGCAGCTGGGTTGCTATTGTGGAACCAGTGACCTCTAAGAGGAGTTTACTCATCTTGATTTTACTGGGGACGGTTACTCCAGTGGAACAGTGAATACTAAGGACAAAGCACTGGATGACTTGGTCTGAGTCAATGTGCCAGGCCTCAGCCTCCATTAGCTGCTCTCCAGCCCTGGGAGAGGTAGAAAGAGGAACGTGCAGGAGCTCTGGGATGTGCCCTTCATCTAGAGGGAGGTCAGCCCTCCAAACTCCTGTCCACCCATGCTGGCTACCCCGCCTGCAGTCACCATGCCCAATGCAGGACAGGCTACCCCCCAGCCTCCTCCACCACCATGTATCCAGGGATGACAGTGAATTTTTGTATCTTGGCACAAGTGCAAGGAAGCTCTTCCCCGATGGGCTCAGAGAACCTTCTGGGAACTATTAAAAACTGCCAGAAGTCGGTTTTTCTTGTTGGAAGCACCTCTTGAGAGTTTACATTTATAAAGCCTGGCAAAACACATTTTGAGAACCCAAATTGATTTGCAAAGATGAGGTGAAAAGGGCCCCCACAGATGGGCTCCCTCTGGAGAGAAGCTACTCATCCAAAGTGGTCCCCCCTCTGCTATCCCACTCCCCCACCCCGGAAGACATCCCACTCCCCATTCAGGCAGCCCAGCCCTGCCAGAGGGCATCGTGGTGAGAAGAGAAGAGAAGAGAAGAGAAGAGAAGAGAAGAGAAGAGAAGAGAAGAGAAGAGAAGAGAAGAGAAGAGAAGAGAAAGAGAAAGAAAGACAGAAAGACAGACAGAAAGAAAAGATGCCGATCTTCACCTCTGCCTATTGTACACCATGTCATCTGAGGAGAATTCTACTGCACCCCTTCCTTGGCTGTGCTCTTTATATTTTGTAAGCCACTTCCTGTTTCCATTTCTGGGTCATAAGCCAAGCTTACAGTTGGTGTGAGTCACTCAGCCAGGAGGCCCAGCTATTATCACCCTTCAGAGATCGTGGCTGCCTCACAGGGACGGATCAGAGGATACAATGTGGAAAGACATGATATCGGTTCATTCTTAGGAAAACGTATGAACTTTCCTAGGCTTTTTGGAATGCTTCATGCCTAGGACCAGAAGGTTGGCATGCCTGAAACATCTGTGACTTGCTTGGTTTGCATTTTTCTGCTGTGTGATGGCCAGCTCCTCAGCTCCTTAGAGAGACTGAACAAGGGCACTTTTGGAAGACTTTTTTGCAAAGACCTCACTGGAAGCTTTGCTTTGCCAAGGCGTCAGGGCTGCCTGACAATCATCAGGCAGCAGCTGGTGGTCCCTGAGGAAGACATGAACAAGAAGCCATTCGAAAGCATTATCTTCTAGAAACTAAATTTCAAAACAAGCAAGAAACCACAGCACAGATGTAAGCGGGTGTTCAGTAACCTGAGTTCACATGAAGATGGTCAAAAATAGGTTTTGCACAATTCTATCGCCTTGTGATTGCTAAGAAGTTGACTCCTCCTGATTTAATCTGGAAGGATTATTTTGGAGGAACACTGGGTGCTAAGGAAAAGGCATTAGACCGTTTGGTCAAGGTCAATGTGCCATGTCTATATGGGCTGCAGTTCTGGCTTCCCAATTCCATTCTCTGAACTTTTTTTCTGTGAAGATATATTGTAAGCTGGAACCCACCTGAGATGGCCCAGAAAATGCGGAGCATGAATATTTCTTTTACATTTTTAAATGTTTTTTTTATTTATTTCTGAGAGAGAGAGAGAGAGAAAGACAGCGTGAGCAGGGGAGGGTCAGAGAGAGAGGGAGACACAGAATCTGAAACAGGCTCCAGGCTCTGAGCTAGCTGTCAGCACAGAGCCCGATGCAGGACTCGAACCCACGAACCATGAGATCATGACCTGGGCCGAAGTCAGATGCTTAACTGACTGAGCCACCCAGGCGCCCTGCAGAGCATGAATATTTTCCCCATGCCTCTAAATGAGCCACGCATTCAGGGGTATGTGGGGCCAGGGTGTGGGGCAGCGTTCCTGTAAAGGTCGCCCATGTTGCAGACTTCTGAACATTACATCTTATTCAACAGCAGGGAAGGGAAGAGGGAAACAGAAGAACAGGCAGAGAAAGGCCCAGAAACTCAGGCCAGCCTAGGAGATAGGGATGAGGGCTGCTATCCAGAAAGCTCTCCAGAGAGGTTGGTCCTGAGGTCAGGAAGATATCTCACAGGAGAGAAACGGATATTCGGAGTCTAGTCGTGCAGAGAAGCAACAATGCTTTATGTAGATCTACAGAAAACAGAACACGAAAAGCGTCTTCCTTTTCATTACTGAGCATGTTGGGACATAGGAATTTTCATACTCTACTGGTGGGTATAAAAACTGGAAAAATTTCGTTGATTGGCAACTGGGTAATGTATGTTTGAGGCAGAAACAGTGCTCTGCATTCACCAAACTCAGTTTTCTTCCTGCATATACAGGAAAGCTGCATTTCCCAGCCTCTGTTCCAGTTAGGAGCAGTCACGTGACTGAGTGTCAGACAACTGGAAAGTGGGCATAAGAAGTGATGGGAGTCCATTTCGAGCCTGGCCCGAAAGCCACTTGTGCAATTCTCCATTCTCTCTCTCCCTCTGTCTCATTTCTCCTCCGTTTGCCTATCAGCTGAAATCAGAGGATCCACTGAAGAACTCCAAGTCTCTGCCAAATGGAAAGCCATCATATGAACAAATCCTCTTTCCAGAGGACTGGGTAGAGCTCCTTCCACTCCCACGAACCAGAAGATCTCCACTGAACTGTAATAAAAGAGAGAGAGAAATCTTTACTGTGTTAAGCCAACGAGATTTGGGGGTGTTTGTTATGACCTTTAGCCTATCCTAATGATGTAATATGAAAATCCCTATGTCCCTAAGCTTTGATCTAGCACTTACATTCTTAAGACCATACCCAAAGGAAAATATTAAGAACACATACTATAGTATTAATTATAATAGTTTAAAAAAAGTTGTCAACATTAAATTCCAATAATGAGATTCATTAAATAAATAACAATACAACTCTGAAGAGAAACTTTAGATGCTCAATATCATTGAAATGTATTTGTTGACATGAAAAGCTTTTATGATGCGGTAGTACATGAGAAAGAACAAGTAACAAAAACATGGAGAGTATGAACACATAACCACTTATACAGGCATATATGCATAAAAAAAGTTCTGGAAATATACCACAGTAACAGTGATTATTTCTGATAATAGGATATCAGATGGCTTTTTTAAAAAAATTATCTCTTTTCTGCAGTTGTATACTTTTTCTACAATGAGCATATATTTCTTGAGTCAAGAAAAAATTTTAAAGTAGCCTGTGGGAAATGGGTAGCTCTCCTTCAAACTTGAAGGCTGGCCTTGCTCTAAGTGTACCGTGTGCAAGGGAAATCCAGGTCCCCTGGATGCCCTACTGATCAGGGACTAAAGCCCCACCATTCATGAGGCTAAACATCTATTTCCTCTCCATCAGTGGGAACAGCTCTCAAGCCTTTCACATTGCACGAGGCTCAGTCCTGTCCTGGCTTTAAGGAAGGAAACACCTTTGCATCACAAGGTTTTCCAAGCTTTCCTCAGAGAGTTGATGGGTTTCAGAACTCTCTCCTTTTTGGGTCCTAATTTAGATAATTTGGGAAAATTGCCGCTGCGGATCTCCTTCCCCCAAAGACGAGCTGGGTGATGCAGTCGGTGCCCATGCTGTGGCGAGCAGCACAGGAAATTACACTGTAACTATAGGTCTTTATTCAGAAACCCAGCAGTCTCACCGCAAAATAAATTTAAGAGCCCTGAAGCCTTAGTGCTCTGACCTACAAGATCAAAGAGTCTCATGCAATTTCTCCAAGAGAACTTCGAACACAAAGCAATGTGGCAGGTTTTTGTTTTGACCTTCCAACCACATGATCGTGCCAGAATTAAGTTGTAACTCCAGCCTTTTTTCTTCTGCCAAATTATTCCCTGCCCTTTTCGGCAGACCCTCACACAGAGAGAATAAGCCACTGAGGTTTCCTGTGGAGGAAGGTTCTTTGTGTACTGTGAGGGGACCATATATTAACACAACCCATGCGTAAGTTTTATGTATAGTAAGACCAAGCTCCTTTAGTTGAACTTAATGGCCTTTTGGCAAACCACATGTCCCCCAAATGAAGACATGTGAGGAAAGGAAGACTTATTTTTGACATGCGATCCCGATGTACTGCATCTGGAAAGGGGCTTCCCCTGGAGCAAATGAAGAGCAAAACCTGAGGACCTGAGAACGCCTGTGAGAAAATCTTAGTAATTCTTTTCCACTCCTCTCCATGACTCAAATCCTACCGGCCCTTCAAGGCCCAGCTGAAGAAAGGGCCCATGTAGGCCCCTGTGGACAAGTCAGCCCATACCAATGCCTTTCCTATCTCAAATCCCTTTCTGGTAAAAAGGCTGTTGTGAGCGTCATAGTCTGGGTGCTGTGGGCTCTGAGCAAAGTACCGTCGGATTCACATCAGTGCCCAGTTTTAGGATTGCTTGGGATTCCCACCCACTCAGGGTCTCAACCCCTTAAAGATTCTTCTTCTCCCAGGTATTAGGAACCCAACAGACAGTAGCAGCGAGACACATAGGCCTTGGAGTTACAGTGCTGTGTGATCTTGGGCAAGTCACCAAGATCTGAATTTTAGTTTCCTCTGTGACTGGTTCTTTGCACCCAAACTATTAAAATGCTTTAATACTTGTGAGAGTTAAATGAGAGAATTCAAATAATACACTTCACAGTCAAAAAACCTTAGTGTTTCTGTTTTTAAAAGTGGCCCCCAAATTCTTGGACACACCTCCCAACCAATGGTGCTCTGTGTCACCTCTCCTTGAATCTAGTCCCTGAAACAGCCTGACCAATAGGACATAGGTGGGAGATGCCACACCAGTTTCTGGTCCCAAGCCTTCACAAACTGGCAGCCTCCACGTCCTGCATCCCTCTTGGAATGCAGATACCATACTGGGAGGAGCCTGGCCACACAGAGAGGCATGTTCTGGTGGAAAGCCCCAGATAAGGCATAAGCCAACAGCCAGGATCAAAGCAAAGGAGCTTTTGAGATCACTCCAGCTGCTACCATCATCTGACTGTAACCATGGAAATCGGAGATCAGAAGCCCTGAGCAAGAACTGCCTTGCTGATGATTGTAGTCAACTCCCAGAGTCATGAGCCATGAGGATAAGTTGATTGTTGTTGTGTTATGTCACTAAGTTTTCCAGGGATTTGATACTCAGGCACAGATGTCAGCAGTCTTTACCTGTTGCCTGAAGGAAGTCTTGCACTGGTCCAAGAGACCCTAGCCCTCCTTGGCCCTCCCAATTCTGTAGTCGGGAGTGCCCTTCTCTGCTGACGTGCTTGCAGGAATCTGAATCCAACTGTGGACCCATGCAGGTTTTCTCTCCAAAGGAAATTTCTTAGCTTCCCTGAAAATCAGTGCGTCCAAAGCATTGTTTGGGAGGCAGGACCCCGCCCAATTCTGTGACAGAACAGCCTCTGAAAATCATGTGCTACCTTGTTCTGTTCACGACATTTCCCGTGGATGTTAGATCTCACTTTTGTTTTTCAAAAAGAATGTAAGTTTTCGTAAGGCTAGGGACCCTGTTTACATTTTATATTTTGGGCAAATTGCAATTTTTGAGAAACCAGTTATCACAGCTGATTGGAACCAGTTGAATCTGTGAGAAGCTGAAGTCCATGATAATACTCAAAAGGGACAAATAGTCAAAAGGGTGCTAGAGAAAAGGTACCTACTGAACAGGAGTCTAGTGGTGCCCAAGCTCTCTCCCAAAAGAGAAAAACGTATGGGGAGAGAAGTCATTCTTTTGTTATTTCAGGGTGAGGATGGTTCCTGCAAATGAAAAGTTCAGGGGTTGGAGGGTTTCAAGTGTTTCAGATTGTTTCAATGTGGTCTCCTTATTGGGTCTTTCAAGTAGTTAACTATGGTTGGCCCAAGATGTAAGAACGATTTTACCTGCTGAGTTGATAGTTGCAAAAATCTTAACACTAAAGTCTGGGGCTAGATTGCATGCATATTCAGGCCCGGAGGATATTCGGTGGCAGGGTGAGGGGTTTGGGGAACCGTGGTGCTGCTGGGGAGTGTCATGCACTCTACCCAATGGCTCGCCCACAAGCCACTATCTGGAAGCATGTTACACATCTCCTGCTCTGTGGAACCATCTCCATACCTCTCCCTATCAACTGCCAACCAAAAGGCTGTACATGCTCTGTCCCTATTGACTTCTATCAGTCAATCACATGCCATCCCCATTGGGACAACACTGCACTGTACCCACCTCCAGGCTGGGTGGTGGCATCTTCTCTGTGCCCCAGGCTTTTGGTGCTTATTTTTATCCCAGTCATTACTCTGCTGTGCTGTGTCTCTATTCCTCTTCCAATAGACTCTGAGCTACTTGCAAGCCTTAACCATCATTTGTTTTTCTCTTCCTGTTCCCTGGAAGTAACAGGACCCTCCTTCAATAAAGTTTTAAATGAACAAATGAATGAATAAGGTTTCCATCATTTCCTTAAAGTTTTAACCGGCACAGACTACCTGCTTTTCCCCAGATATGCCCTATGCTTCTTTGTCTCTGAGAGAACTGTGTTTTCTGTGTTTCACAAAGCTTTCCCAGTACACACAGGAGTGTAACAGCAGAATCAACTGCAAAATTTGTCAGATCCAGTGAAAGAGGAAGATGCCTGGTCAAAGTCTCCGTCTCAAAAATTACTGGGGTGCCTGGATGACTCAGTCGGTTAAGTGTCTGATGTCAGCTCAGGTCATGATCTCATAGCTTGTGAGTTTGAGCCCTGTGTCGAGCTCTGTGCTGACAGCTCAGAGCCAGGAGCCTGCTTCAGATTCTGTCTGTCTCTCTCTGCCCCTCCCTTGCTGGTTCCCTCTCTCTCTCTCTCTCTCTCAAATATAAATAAACATTAAAAAAAATTTTTTTTAATTATTAAGAATTTTGGAGTGCCTACGTGGCTCAGTTGAGCATCTGGCTTCAGGTCAGGTCATGATCTCACAGTTTGTGAATTTGAGCCCCATATTGGGCTCTCTGCTGTCAGCGTGGAGCCTTCTTTAGATCAAGGGTTTCCTCCTCTTTCTACCACTCCCCTGCTCTCTCTCTTAATAATAAACATTAAAAAAATATCTTTATGAAAAAAATTAAGAATTAGAGGTGACACCAGAGCATTAAACCAAGCACAGGGTCCTTCTAAGTACCAGGCCTCCTGTGGCCACAGTACCAGCCCATGGAGCAGCTGCCCATTACCTCACCCCTGCATGCCATGCCCTTGTTGGTAATCACAGTTTTAATCTGGGAAGCCACCTTTCCTTTTCCATGTGGCTTGGATGTGACTGATGCCACCACTGCTACCCCAGGGGTGATCCTAGTCTGGCCAATGAGAGCATCACAGCACCCTGGCCACCATTGGTTCACAGAGGCACATGTGACTCAAGTACAACCAATGAGAACCAAACCTCAATTTTGCTGCAGGGATAAAGGTCCCTTTTGCTGGTGCTACTAAGTTGGCAGGAAGTATGCCTAGAGCCCTTGGGAGTCACCACTCGGGGACACTCTGCCTGAGATAAAGCTGATCCTGAAAATCAGAGCTGCTAGGATTGAGCAGGTTGGACAGAGATTCTTGCCAGCGTCATTTCATGCGCTGATTAAGCCCGCCTTCTGGACCTGTCTTTCTCTGAAATTTGTATAAACTGATACATTTCCTTGGCTTCATTTCCTTGCGCTTCAGT